ACTCCACTATAATTTTGGCATGTCATTTTCCAACACACTAATCGTGTTAAATAGTCAAAGAATGCATTTATATTTTTGGTAGACATCGACGACCTATCTATGGGTGAAGAAACAAACGTTGCTACCCAACACATTGTGAGGAGTACAGTATATGGACAAAAAAAGGGTAATTGACTTTTGCTTTCGGATGAAGGCGACTATAAATTAATTAGAGCTACCCAAACCACATGAATCAGTGAGGATTTGGTACTGATGTGATTTTATTATCTTCTTTCAATAAATCAAACAACAAAACCACATAATATGGACATGAGATTGATTACCTTAATAGGATGTTTTCATTATTATAGTTTTTACGAAAACTAAAATTTATTTTTATGAAATTTTGGGTTTTAAACTATAATTCATTGTACAGGAAAAGCAAGTCACATGTGGATGGCACCTAAATAGCAAGAAAAATGATATTTTTATGATCAACCACACTAGCGAACAAACTTGGTTGCTAATGATGCATGAGAGCAATAATAATACTAGCGATAACAACATGTAATGAATAGGGACCATATAATAGCACATGGGAACCCCCCATATGATTGCCCCACACTCCATGTGAGTAATATTATTATTGAGAGATCCCTTGTATTCCTCCATGGCCATCACCTACCGCTTGGCATCATCATCCCGCCGACATGTCATGAGCCGCTGTGTTCACTGCTCCACAGCCTTCTCCATCTTCGTGCTGGATTATAATGTAGGTAGATTATTCATCTACGAGAATATACTAGTGCTGCCAGATGCATGATAGATTCAGCAATGTATATCCATTTTCAGGTTCGGATGCAGAGGTGCCTGCAGCTGCTATCATGGCCACACTGTCGTCCTCTTGTTCGACAGAGACCTAATAAGATGCGTGTGGGAGCAGTTCCGAGACATTCTCCATCAGTCCATTGTAGGTGCATGTGGAGTCTGTCACATGCCATGCCGACACATTAATTCGTTGTTCGTAGAACTCGACTCACTGTTCATTGTTGGATGCATGCGAGTGATCATAAGGGCTCGACTTTCTATTGCTGTGTGTGTGTTAGAAGCTTATCATGTTTTGTTGCTTGTCGAGCAGCGGTAGCACCGTGTTCATCTATCCCCAAGTCTTGTGTTTTGGCTTCTTCATGGATCGCAGATCATTTACCCGACGAATGGATCGATGATTGCTTTGGACCCATAAACTAGTTTTCTGATTCCTTCATCAAGTTATCTGTGTGTGTCATTTCGTCAAGCCTATAACATCAGTGACTGAGAGATGCAGGCAGTATGGTGTGTGGCTTCCGTTTGCAGCCAAGTAAGTTCACAGGATGACAAGGAGCTCGAGAGGCAAAAGGTCAACCTTCAATAGCATGCAAGCTAAACATGATGCATCAGCTTTAGCGAAGGTAGGATGTCGGTAGGTTTGGGTGAGATGAATGGTAGGCGTAAAGCTTATCTTTATTTTTCGTTAAAAATAAAGATGAATTTTGGCTGAGAATATGTTGTCACCATTCGATATATATTTGACAACATATATAAGAGAATTCTTTGATACATTTGCTTCCCACTTGAAGTTGAGTTTTCATCTCTTGATCATGAGCAACTCAACTACTGGAGGAATCGAGAAAAGTATGCATCAACCTTTGCCTACAGCTCTATTAGTGCTTAAGCTTTGACATCATTTTAGCAAAAGAAAAAGAAGAACTCCTCTATTGAGAAATCCTCAAATTGCAAGTGAGCTAAATTAAGATATGATAGGATAGAACACCAACCATCAGATGAGGTTATCTACTTTAAGAACCATTGACCGATCAGCCCACTCAACAGCAGTTGACCAAGAAGGATAAAAGCAACAAAGACAGATTATTTTAGGGTTTTGTAGCAATTAAACTCTGGACTTATATAATTGACTCGATGTATCTATCTCTTAAGCAAGCACAAGTCTCTTTTCTTCTCCTCTCTTTCTTTCATTTGCCTCTCTCTTTAGTCCCTCTCATGGAGGGTAAACCATTATTACAAATTAAAATACAAAAATTATAATTTAAAATACAGGTATGGAAGGACAAAGGCTGAAGCATCTCGGTGAAAAGATGGAGACACCCCATAAAGGAGAAGGAAAGAATGCCCCAGCATGAGGATCGTCTTCGAGGTTCTTCTACCTCAAAAAAGGAAATAATATAACTTTTTGAGCTTTGATAACCTACCTCGCCTGACAAATCGTTCTTTAGGGTTGATGTGTCCTGATGATTGAGAAAGACACTCGCTGATATGGATTTCCCACTCAGAATCATCGATCTCTCTCACCTAAAATCTCAATCATCCACTGTAGTTGTTTTACTCGTAAGTGGATTATCTTTTGTCATTATTTTTCTCATCATTTTTTTTAATGATCTATTATATTCATGTCCAATTATTTCATGCGTACTTTTGTTACAGAGCAGCTTCCTCGTGAAAGAAAGAATCCTAAGCTCGCTCTCAATTATGGAAACATATTGTTGGAGAATGATGTTATAGCTGTCGCAGCGTAGTCCCGTATACTGTTCATAATGAAATCTATACTCGATCGATACATCAGCGACAAAGGATGGGTGCATTGTTGTGTACTATCTTGTAATGTTCCATTCCTCCAAAGCCACTCCAAGATCCATCACATGATCTCGTGCATGCATTGTTGCGTAGCGAGCGATGTGGGGATACATCTCCTTTACCCCCCCCTGACCAACTCCGGACGGTATCATTAAGATAGAGGATTAACGACTGGGCATGCACCTGCTGCCATTACTCCACCATAAATAGATTCACAGACAATACGCCGTGGAATCTGCTACATTTAGCCTCTCGGCTACGCCGTATAGCCTCTTTATTTTGTGTCTCGGCATTTATCCGATCGACCCTCGGACGATAAATTTGGCAGTGAAGTCTTTGGAGCTTCTGCATTCATGGCGAAGCTGAGGCGGTGGAGACGGAAGAGTAGGCACATAGGAGTCCGTGGTGGGCATGCATGGGTGGCGACACAGAAAGGGACTGCACAAGGGTAATTTGGTATCTCTGGATTTGGAAGCAGGTGAAACGGAGGTGTGGGGTGAGAAGGAAGGGCAGATGCGTCGGTCGGGACACGGTAGGGGAAAGCAACAAAAGTCCGCCGTCCCCGTTGAATTCAAGTCTCCCACTTTTGCCTGCTTGGTTTGGTTTCTTCGTCCCACGGGCAGCTCACCAACCGTAGCCGTATCACTCTCCTCTGATGGATTTCATGGGGATTAATGCTTTCTACCATTCAATTGGATTGGATTTGATTTGATTTGATTTGCTTCGCATGTAATGACCGTTCGTTCACCGGTAAACGAACTTTCCTGAGAGTCTTCGGGACTGTTAGGTAAATAAGATTCATGCAATCCAATCCATGTGGTTATCATGTGTGCTTGCTTCCACTTCTCTGCTGGTCAACGACACACAATGTGGATTATCACCACACAACTTCACATGGAAACGCTACATTAACTGTCGAGATACTGATGTATCTAACTAATAGAACGACCAGTGCAATCCATGGCCGCCGTCGGCTCCATAGAGAAGAGGGGCAATGTATTCTCGGATATAATACGAAGGTCTTTGTTGGAGGCCCTTAGATTCGGATTAAACTCCCTCATCACATGCCTCACATGTGCTCCCTCCAATGCATGCAATGCACTAATGGAGTAGCAGTAAGCTGACGCAGATCCAGGAGGATTAAACAAATAATTAAAAGATACAGAAAGGTAGGGAAAAAAAGAACACAACAGTGGCTTTAGACAGCTGAGATCTGTTCCTCTCCATTCATCATCATACAGGTAGTTCTTCTTCCTTGCTCAATAAATCTCGCCATTCCCCACCCTCTCAACCACCATCCCTTTTTCTGCTTTCTAGTAGTTCAACCAGAGCTCTCTCTCTCTCTC